TTTTTTTTTTTTTTTTTGTCAATGGAAATCTGCACAGACTAAACAGCCAAAAGAAAAACCCAACATCACTGTTCGGACAACAAACACTACAAACACTCAGGATCAGTCCACCACTGTTAGGGAGTCCAAGGCGTTTGAGAAGGAGAATTCGGAAGCGGTCAGCCAGCTCCTGCAATCTTCCCAGCCTGCCCACACTGAAGACTGGGAGGAGGTAATCATTTCCGATGCCCACTTTGAGCCCAATCAGCCTCAGGAAAAACCAACAGAGAAGCAGAAAGAGAAGTCTACAAAGTCAGCTGAGCAGGATGTCACCAAAACTGACAAACCACCTCCAGCTGGGAGCACCAAAGCTGTGCCACAAGCCTCTGTTTCCAAGTGAGTACTGTACTGTAGACTGATGGAAAGAGTAATGAGAAAAACTAAGATAAAGATTTTATACCAATTTCTGTGTGTATTGCGTAATTATGTACATGGTGGTATTCATATTTGATGATTTACTTATATTGTTTTGTTTTAGTTTTTTTTTTTTTTAATTGTGCTTCTCAATAACTGTGCTTCATTGCTTCTTTCTGTCAGTGGCTTGCAGTCAGCAATTGGCATGTGCCTTTGTTGCTAGAAAAAAAATAAAAAAGATACACTGCAAAATGAATAATAGTTACTATTCTGTCGCAGGTGATTCAGATTCTGAATTGAAATGACATTAACAAGCTAAAAATCATATGAGAATTTAGTGATTCAATTTCCATCTTCTCTAAAGCCTAACTCCAGTTACAAAATTATTGAAATTAGGACTTCAACTAACGATCAGTTGGCCAATAATTTTTTCGATTAATCAGATTTAAAAAAAAAAAAGAAATGCCATCTTTTAAAATAAAATACACAAATAGAGTGTTGCAAACATATAGGTTACGTCAGAATAAAACTTTACAATAATGTTATACAACTGTTGTACGATTTTTTAAAACAGCATTTTTAAACCTGGTATTTCCTTTTTGAAATAAAAAAAAAAGAGATTAAGGAAGCAGAGTCCTCATCCTCTTTTTCTGCAGCCCCAGCACTCAATGGACAGGAAGCACTCAGTACAGAGGCTTCCTGTTCATTCATAATTGAGGACACTGTATCTAAATACTATGCCCTCAATTATTTACAAACATCGTAGTGATCACTACCGTGTCAACGATGGTCAGTGTGTCAGTGCTGGTACAGTGTGTGAGATGTCAGTGCTGGTACAGTGTGTGACATGTCCGTGTGTTAGTGCTGGTACAGTCTGTGAGATGTCAGTGTTGGTACAGTGTGTTAGATGTCCATATGTCAGTGCTGGTACCGTGTGTGACATGTAAGTGTGACAGTCCATGTCAATGTGTCAGTGCTGGTATAGTCAATGACATGTCAGAACCCTCTATGTAGGTGGTCGGCACACACTATTTGATCAGGACAGAACTCTGATGTTGGATCTAGGTTCTCCTCAGTGACAGCTGGACATGGCAGGACAGAGGCCTCTGCTCCAAGTTCTCACCCGAGCCCTCAGTACCCCTCTACCCTGAGGAATGGGGCCTGCTGTGCGGCTCACCACTTTGGCTTGGTCTGCTCCATGTTGGCTGTGCCCGCTCTCGCCCTCCGTACCGATAAAACCCAGAATAATAGTCAATGGCATGTCAGTGGCCTCTATGTAGGTGGTCGGCACACACTATGTGATCACACTGGGCAGGGAGAGGACAGAACTCTGATGTGGGCTCTGAGTTCTCCTCAGTGGCAGATGGACATGGCAGGACAGGGGCCTCTGCTCCAATTACTCACCTGAGCCCTCAGTACCCCTCTCACCCCGGGCAATGGGGACTGCTGTGAGGCTCACCTCTTTGGCACGGGCTGCTCCATGTTGGCTGTGTTCGTTCTCACCCTCCACACCAATAAAACCCAGAATAAGCTCCATAACCCATGCAACTTTCATCTTCCTCCTCTCGAACTACACTTCAACCCAACCCACTGCCACGGCCAGGACCGCCCTCCGGTGAGACTTACACCACAAATTGGTAGACACGGCCGCTAGCTCTTTCCTATATGGTCCAATCTTGTGTCATGTCTAGTGCAGATCAATTTATTGATGATGATGATAAGAATTGTTGACAACGATTCTCATTATCGATTATTAGCGATGAATTAGCTTGGTTGATTCAACGCTAATTTAAATTGCAACCCCCAACCTGTCCCCTAAAGCCACTCTTCTTGCTGGCCTCCAGTTGTTCTGGTCACTCCACCTCTCGCTGACATCATAACGCAAAGTACAGGATCAGTGGCCACATCTTTAGGATTTAATTTGGCCTCTGATACAAATATCAGCCCATATTCCAGCACTGCAAGTAAGAGAACCCTCTGGGTTTAGACCTTTTTTTGTTTTACAAACTCTCCTGAAATTGCTTGCTTTCTTTTTTGTTTATTATAATAAAGTTTTTTTTTTACAATTTTAGGACAAGTTCATCTTCTGCTTCATCATTAAACAAACCACCGGAAGCAAAGAGTTTCTCCAAACCCCTTGCAATTGCTAGGCCAATAAGAGCCATACTCCCAGCTCCTACCAATTCAAATAGAAGCATCACTGTGGAGTGCACTGGCAACACTCTGACCTTCATAAAACCAGGTAAACCAGATAGTTTTCCACCCTACAACCTCACCTCTTTATCTTTCCTGGTATCTGTGCCTCCCGTCCCTTGTTATAGGCATTCATGTATGTGGGGAGGAGTTTAGGCAGGGAGGTCAGATAGGTGCTAGGAGGGATTTCATCATGCAGAGGGATAAATGTTAGCTTAGAATGTACAATATACACAAACATATTTTAAAGCATATGAAAAGCCCCAAATGTTCTATCTGGGAGGGGAAGAATGTTTTAAAATGAATACTCCTCTCAGATTTTTATTGCTGTCTGTGTCCCCACTGGGAGGATTCATCCTCACTATGGTGACCATTGCCGCCAGTACAGAGAGTGATGGGAAATCCACATTTCTCTTCCGTTCATTGAAGGACACAGGGAACAGATCTAGGATCATGTACTGTAATATCGCCACCTGCAGGAGAAGGACGCTAGGCACAAAACTAAAGACCAATTACAGCCTAGGGGCGGCCCCTGCTGGTGGCCAAACCCCCCACCTGCTGACAAGTCTCCAGTTTTTTGCCTAGCGTCAGGAGTAAGGAGCTAAGAATTTTTTCTCTGGTATTCTTACCTGACTTCTTCCTGTTTTTTCGCTGATTCTTCTAGCAAGTGCTGCCAGGGCGACAGGCTGGATGTGGTATTTATCACAGGTACATTGAGTGAGGGAAAAATCTTCCAACGGGGACACTTGTTATACTGACAAGTTTCTAGGAGGGGATATCCCCTTGTTTTGGAGAGCTCTCTTCCTATGCTCTCTGGGACAGGCAGTGAAGGGAAATCTCCCTGTTGGAACACTGACAGTAAACAATAAACCTGATAAGCATTTTAAGCATTCCCTACTGTACACAACATTTAAAAAAAAATGAATTAATAAATTGTCACTTTGCAACCCCAGTCAAAAACATTTTACATACACCTTAGTAAGATGGAAAAACGTTTAAAGGCAAACCCTTTGTTGTTATTTCTCATTCAGAGACATACAACAATGTCACATCAGTCGGCCTGAAAGCCAGTACATTAAAACAACTCGGTCAAGCAGTTTTGCAGCAGCCAATACCACAGGAGATCACGGTAAGAACATTTCATGAAGGTAATTTTAAATATCTGTTTTATGTTTTCTGTCAAATACAGTATATGTTTAAGGAGAGTGTATGAAAAGTCTTGTGTTGCATTACATAGTTACATAGTATTTGAGGTTGAATAAAGACATATGTCCATCAAGTCCAACCTATTTGTGTGTGTGTGTGTGTGTGTGTATGGGTCCCTGTGTCATCTCGTTATTAGGAGTACCAGTACCCCTGTATATTACCGTTTCTCAGGAAATCGTCCAAATGCTTCTTGAACGAATCCACACTATTAGCTGAAATCACTGCTTGTGGCAGTGAGTTCCAGACCCTAACCGCGCGAACTGAGAAGAACCCCCTTCGCCCCTTGTGTTTGAATTTTTTTTCTACCAGTTTCAGGTGGTGTCCTCTAGTCTTTGTTACAGAATTAATCTTGAAGAGTTTGTTGCTAATGTCGCTATGACTATGGAACATTTTGTACATGAAAATCATGTCCCCCCTTAATCTCCTAACTTCCAGCGTGAACATATTTAAATTTAGTAGCCGTGTCTCATAGCTCTTGTCCTCCATCCCTTTGATGAGTTTAGTTGCCCTCCGCTGGACTCCCTCCAGCTCAAGGACATCCTTTCTGTGTACCGGTGCCCAAAACTGCACCGCATACTCCAGGTGAGGCCGAACCAGTGCATTATTTCAGGTCCTGCACAGTTAAGGTTCCTGCAATCTGATGTAGATTATTAATGTTTTTATCAAGTTTAGTCAGCTAGGGTTTTCTAAAAATGCAGATGTGAAAATGTCACTTTGCCTGGAATAGCTTTACTTGATAGATACAGTACCTTTCCACCGCTCCCCATCCCCCTCAATTACTGCTGCTTCATGAAAACTGAGCAGGTTTTGACTTACAAAATTGAAAAAAAAATAATGATATAACTTCAACTGATACGTCCCAGGCGTTCTATTGTCAGTGATCGTTTTTGCATCTTGAATGCTATGATGTTATGTTTACCAAATATTTGTTAAATATTCTGCAAATGTTCTTAACCCCTTCATGACTGAGCTTGTTTTTAGTTTCTGTTCGTAAATGACTGACACACTTTTGACATTTTTGCTGTGTGATTCTTCCAAGTCGGTAATATACTTTCTTACAAAGTGCACCCACACATATTATATATTGTTTTTTAGAGGACAGATAGGGCTACATATTTATATCACATATGTGCGTCTAACGCCTCACTTAGGACAAATAAAATATAAAAAAAGAGGAAAAAAACGTTTAAAAAAAACACTTTTTTCCCAGTTTTGATTTGTAGTATTTTTTTTACAAAACCAGCACAGCTAAAAAAATGCAATAAATACATTCATTTATTTGTCCCTTATTTTATTTTATTTTTTACACATTTTTTTTTTTTTTTTACACTTTTCACAAATTTTTTTTTTTTTACACTTTTCACTTTTTTTTAACTTAAAAATGTTATTTTATTTATTTAATTATATCAAGCAGTCATTGTGAATTAATCTCACTGTTACTGCTTGATAAATTAATACATTTTTGGTTATTATCAGGCTGCTTCAAACTTCAGAACAGCCGATAATAAGTTAGTGACACTGATCCTGCAGCAGTTCAGGATTCAGCTGTTACTAAAGGTTTTCTGATTGTTGCAACAACGATCAGCAAACAAACATTCTTCTTCCAGGAATAGATACATTATAGGAATAGACACATTATGTATCTAGTCATGAAAGAAAGAAAAAAAGCCAGTATAGCTTGGGAGAGATATCTCTCCATCTATACGAGCTGTTAGAATGCCGGCAAAAGCCTGCATCTGTGTCCGCTCTGCTGTGACTCTCAGACACCCGATATTAAGGTATCGGGTGTCTGAAAAAGGTTAACCCTTTCATTAATGAATGCCTCTGTAGTAAGGGCATCCATTAATGAATGTTAAAAGCTGATTCTCAGCGTTTAACAGCCCTCTAAAGCAGCAAATAACTCGTCACGTACAGTGTACGTGACAAGTCATTTGGTCCCTTTGTGGCTGGACGTACAGTGTACGTCTCCCGTCACGAAGGGGTTAAATATAATCCCAAAAAGTACACCATGAATACTAACCATTATAATGTACAGCATCTTTCAAAAGGCAACTTGCATATCATGATTACAACTGCTATAAGAGGTTATATTTTATCTTTTTTTTTATTACAATTCAGGTACGGGCTGACCTCCCTGCACCCTTGTCACAGCCAGAGCATAAAGTTGTGACTGATCCCTTCCCCTCATACAAGTACAACTGCCCTGTGGCACTGGTAAGTGACCTGCAGAACACCAGTGGCAGTAAAGACCAAATAGTTCACCTAGGCCATACAGCCTTTCCTCCTAAAATGGCCACTTCATACTGCTCATGCATGCCACAGCCCTATTCATGCCTATGGAGGAAGCTATACTCTGTTCTACCGCTTGAAGAAAATCATAATTATGGCTTTCCCATAGAAATATATGTGACTGTGACAACTAAGTAAAAAATAAATAATAATATATATCTATATATTTAAAGTATTTGTACTTTGAAAATCATTGTAGGCAGATAACTACCGTGTTTCCCCGAAAGTAAGACCTAGCGCCATCTTCAGGGATTTCTGTAATATAAGACCTACCCTGAAAATAAGACCTAGTTCGGTGGTAGGTCTTATATTACCGAAATCCCTGAAGATAGCGCTAGGTCTTATTTTCGGGGTAGCTACACATATAATTGAATTTTACACTCGGACCCCTTGCTATCTGCTTGGATGCAGCAATACATGTGCAAGGGGTCCGAGTGTAAAATTCAATTATATGTGCAGCTTGTCTTATAAAACATGTCAAGACCGGTCGCAGCTACCTCCCTCCCGCCCCACCGCACACCCGCACACACACCTCTCTGCCTTGGCTGCCGCTGAAAACTACATTTCCCAGCAGGCACAGCGCGGCATGGCCAGTGGGGTCGAAGTGAGGTCAGGGAACCTCTGACTGGTGGCTCCCTGGACGGCATCAGAGCGGAGAGCTCCAGACAGCTGCAGCCAGGTAAAAATAAGACATCCCCCGACAATAAGACCAAGTGTCTTTTTTCGGGGGAAAAAAATATAAGACAGTGTCTTATTTTCGGGGAAACACACGGTAACAGGTTTGGCTGTGTCCACATACCTTTTTGTTTGGGTCTGAAGCACTCTTTAAGGCCCCTTAAGGTAGACCTACTGTACACTGTCTAGTCCTTGACCTTATTAGGCCTGTTGAATCATCCTGGATTTGATTTGTGTATGACAGCCCTAAGCCTTTCTCATTCACTTGATGTCTTTAGTTGTGATTACAACCTGTGTGTAGGGTCATATGGGCACTTTTACACCCAGCAGCTTTCCAAAAGAATATGGAGGTGTGCAGTCTCCACACTGAGCTGAAAATTAAATGTTCAACTTCTTATCAAAGGTGCACTGCTTAGTAGAAATCATTTACACCTCAAATACGTCACATAGAAGAAAACACTCCAGATCGGAAAATACCCTCAATGTCCTAAGCTAAAACATCCAGGTAAGAATCCTTATTTTGAACACAGTGACAGTTATTTTCAGTTGTCCTATGAACCCTGAAAAGTTCACTCACGTGTTTGAAAATAAAAATCCTTATCTTGTGTAAAGCTTTGTGAATTTAGCCCCATGTGTAATATGTGTGTGACTTGTGTGCTCACTTTGTGCCCATAGCTTTGCCCTAAGATGCGTTCATTTAGCATGACTTGCTTTCATGGTCATTCTTACAGGACCTTGGTCTGGCAACACAGAGAGGGAGAGGGAAGTGTAAAAATCCCTTCTGCGACTTCGTATACACCAACAGGCATAAGCCGAAAGTCTGCCCGAACTGTGGCATCAATCTCAAAGATAAAGTAGAAAAAGGACCCAAACTTCTGGTAAGGACAATATTGTATTGTGTACTTACGTATATATTATGAGGCATAACTGTGCAGTTCTTCTGTCCACATTGATGAGGATCATTCAGCTGAGCCAACATATCATTTCTTCTTGTTTTGCTTGCCATTCTGCAACTTGTCACGGGCAGGGCCCTCCTTACCATCTTGTCTTGAATTGTATTGTATTGTAATGTCTTCCTTATATTGTAAAGCGCTTCGCAAACTGTTGGCGCTAAAAAAAATCCTGTATTATAATAATAATTTGATAGTATAATGTCTAGTACAGGCCTAAGTGCATTTAACTGTGTTTATTATAATAACTCGTCAAACTTTAAATGTAAGAGGACGAAACTATCCCTGCAATTGCTGCTTTTTCAACTTTTCTAAAAGATAGAAGTTGTTTTAAAATGTTTGGAAAATCTCTGAGTGCAGATGGGACAGAATATGCAGGTGAGGATTTCTAAGGGTATGTGGATGTACAGTATCTACATAAGAGAAGAGTGGAGGGAATATAATTGGGCCGTATTTGCAGAAGAGGATAGGGTATGAAAAAGAGCAGTATGTGCAGTAGAGAAGACCAGAGGGTATAACAGTGGTCAGTATGTTCAGAAGATAAGTTTGGTTATTATGTGTAGAAGGGGAGTGTGCAGGATATGACAGTAGACAATCTGCACTGGAGGGGAATGCATAGGATATGAGGGTGGGCAAAATGTACAGGAGAGTATGATGGAGGGCACTATCTGTAAGGAAGGAGTGCATTACTTTTAAATATAGCATTCCCTTTTAAAATAATACATTCTGGTGCATGGTATTAATTCTTAAATTACATTTTATATCCTTTATAGGAGGCAGCCATCACTATCGCTACTGCCATGAGTATGCGAGAGCCTCTTACACAATCACAGAAGGAGATCCAACGACACTCTACTCTCCAGCTAATTCGTAAAACCGTACAAATCCCTGAGAATGAATGTGAGCTGTCCGACACATTTGCTCTCATCCAAGAGCTTAATAGTTCTCCTTTGGTTTTATCTAATGTCCATGATGGTACCGTGACCATAGAACAAACCTCCTGGGCCAGCATCTATGAGTCTCCAGCTGACAGGTGTCTGCTCTGTGGTACCAAGCTATTTAAAGGCGACAAAAAGTAAGTTATTTTTGTATTATCCTCTTTATCCTTCTGTCAAATAACTATAATGCTTTTTATAATAGTACCAATCTAAGGTAACATAGTTTCAAAAAGCATTCTGGGTTTTCCTATAAAACCTGCATATTGTAGCATTTTAATTTGTGGAAAAGTCCATGCCTTTTAAAAGGATCAGAATGTTCTCCATTTACTTCCCTACTGGAATGATGCAGGGATCAACAGAATGGTAAGGACAATGTACCCTTCAGGATCAGTTAATTAAACATTAATGATTGTTCTTTGCGATAATATCTATTTTTTCAGTAGTGAAAGCCAATAAGAACTGAGAACAGTCACACCGCTGACAATATTGATTGTTATGGCAAATAACACAAGGGTTATAGCTTAATGAATTGAGCTTTTTGACTATCATTTTTAGAACAAGTCAAATGAACCAGTGAACTGCCAATGTTCTAATGGCAGAAGGTGGCTGGTTCAGATTCAGGACCATTAAACATGCTAACCTAGTTGCTAAAACCCAAGATTAAACCCGTTAATTGCCTTTTAAATGCCATTTAATTGAAAGAAGAACTCTTCTTTTGCAGGTCTAGCTTGCTTTGGCATGTTTAATATGGCTACAGAGTTGCTTTAAAGAATAGGTGATTCTACCAGAGGAGGATTTTGAGGCATTTTATTCTGTCACAGATTATCCACCTCTATGTTTTTTACTCCACTGCACTCAATATGCGTCATCACAGAAGCATTTTGCTTTGCAACCCTTTAAGTCTTCTGTCCTCCCCACTTCATACATGTTAGATAATGTATGTCTGCCTATCTCTCATGTTGCAGTTCAATGGCCGGTCCTCAGGATTGCTGGCTTTTAACAGCTAATCGCCTACAGCTGATGACCGCTCAGGTCAAGGTGTGTCTAAACTCTCAATGTTTGGCAATACACAGCTTTAATGACATCTATACGGGTAAGTTAAGAGTTGCGTCTTTGATCACGTATTCATTATGAATATATACAAAACTACCACTACAGTGTATTAAGCTGCTGTGCTATATCTACAATTGATATGTAATAAACATGAAATAAATGGTGGACAGCACTAAACCTATTAATTTATAAACCCTGTGCAACAAAATCCTTAAATGGACTAATAGTTCATTCCAAATTCGACCCTTGTTCACCAATGAAAATAAATCCTTCCAGATTATATTCTACAAGTATATCACACATACCTGAACCATAAACATGTCAAAGTAAATGAAACAAACGTGCAATCCAGACACATGTAAACTTTAAGGGCCAGTTCACACCATGAAGAGTGCGTCCCACAGCGTTCGGCCGGCAGGCAATCCGGCAAGCTTCCTGGTGGTGATGCATTGATGTCAATGGCACCGCAACCACGCCCCCACCTGCACCCCAACACATGGCACATTAGTGCAGGCATTCCGGTCCAGTGCGATCTGCAAAAAGAGTGCATGCAGCATTTTTGCAGATCGCACTGGACCATAACACAGGCACTAATGTGCCTCGCATTCGGGTGCCGGCGATCGCACTGCGGGGGGCATGGCTGCGGTGCCATCGACTTCAATGTACTGCCATGCCCCTGAAAGCAGGGAGCCGGCTGGGTTGTGTTCCTGAGGCCAAACGCTCTGGAACGCACTCTTTGTGGTGTGAACTGCCCCTAAATGTGGTGTCCAATAGGAACTGCTGTTACAAATTGCAAAACGTGTAGCCCAGGTAAGTGTAGATTTCAGTGTTGCATCCAGTTAACAACTATTCATCCACGCAGTGTAGTATCCAAAAGCAACCTCTAATAATCCACCTCAAATATGAACCATGCTGTAACCAGGATATTCTATATGCGCTTTTAACCCCTCTATTCCACCTTAGTTCGGATTGACTCACAAAAAACAAATGACCTTGTCATATCATAAAAGGTCATATGATGCTTTCCCCAGAGGGCAATATTCACTTCCTTCAGCCAATCTGTCCTCCTCAGGAGCATTTACCCCCCTTTTAAATGTAATCCACATTTGTGTATTAAACAGAGAAAAAAAGTAAAGGATTCTCCATTGTTTAAAGAGGGCTACCCCCACGCTGCAAGGGTTAAGTTCTTGTTTTGGTCTAGGGCAGGGGTAACCAAACTGCGGCCCTCCAGCTGTGTTGGACTTACAAATCCCATGAGGCATTGCAAGATTCTCACAGACATGACTCCCGGGGGGGGGGGGGGGGGGGGGGGGGGGGGGATGCATCATGGGATTTGTAGTTTCACCACAGCTGGAGGGCCAGAGTTTGGCTACCCCTGGTCTAGAGGCTGGATTAAACAAGATATACTTACCTGATCCTTAATCCCGCCTGGCTGCTAGACTGTTGTGGGATTCAAAAAGTTGCAATATCTGTTTTCTAGCTGATCATGCATAAAAATTATAGGGAGAAATTACTTCCGCATGCAACAGCGATAGCTTAGATGAAAAAACGAATTTGACTTGCAATGCTCGGGGTAGCTCTCTCTGCAACTCAAATGCCAGTAAGATCTAATGTGGAGTCAACATTTTAAATAGAATTGTACCGTTGATGTGTCCAGTGCGCTACCCTACAGCAACCAGAGTTCTTTTCGCTTTGTTGAATTAACCTGATATTTAAAAAAATAAAAGTTACATACAAAAGAGAGGTTATGGTATTTAATGTCTTCTAATATTTTTCTTACTCCAAAGGACTTTTCAACGTGGGGAACAAACTGCTTGTGAGTTTAGATCTCCTTTTCTCTATTCGCAACCAACTTAAGTTGGGAGAAGACCCCAAAGCCTCCATAAGCAACATTGTGGATTCAGTACAGGGACAAACAGGTAAGGATTTTTGGCTGAGGTCACTGTGCACCCTCACACGTTTGTTGAACCTAAATTGACTTAATATGGACTTGGCTCTTATGTCAATTGGAGATTTCAGTACTACTGGAATGGAATGGGACCACATAACAAACATGTAGTGGGGGGTCTATTAAATTTGACGGCAACAGTAGAAAAACACTTTAAGGCCCCATTCACACGAAACTTTAGGCTGCGGCTGGGAAAACATTTGTCAAGAACCTATGGATTCTTGTGGCAGGATTCACAATTTTGCCTACACAAATTCGGCCAATGTGGCTGTCGACTCAGTGACAAGCTAACAGCGGCCGCATCTGTCAGCTCAGCAACTGTCCAGATGTAATCGTACATTATACAATTATGTGCAGAACATGATAGATTATTGTCCCTGGACACAGACCGATTGCATCCAGGGACAAACATCTATCCCGAACCGCAGGTAATCGTTCCATGTACAAATACATGTGGACAGCCACTGAAAGAATCAGCCGCTGTCAGCCTGTTATTCACTTGAACGGGCAAAGCAGCCACATCAGTAAGGACACACCTGAGATTCCTGCCGCAGGTATCCGTAGGTTCTTGCCGCAGAAATCCTCAAGCCTTGCTCTACTTCCTTGCTCATTGTACTCTCTTAATTGCCCTCCTTAAACTTCTGCTGTGTCTTTCTTCTGTCAGAAAAGATGCTGAGCCCGGAGGAGCTGGTGGTGGTCCAGGATTTGCTGAGCTGTGGATACTGGGCGTTTGAGTGTCTCACTCTTCGGGACTATAACGATATGATTTGCGGTGTGTGCGGGGTAGCCCCAAAAGTGGAGATAGCACAACGGAATGTGGAAAGCACCTTAACACTGACCAACATTGAGGTAAATTGCAGTGGCATCAAGTTTTTGTATTATGTACTGAATTCATTGTACATTATCTATCCTATTATTTATTATATGTTCACATTTAGCTGCAAATTACTTAGAACCAAGTGTTATTTTTTAAGCAAATATTATTTTGTGCCAGAGGCACTTTAGCCAGTACAAGCAAACCAACCTCAATAACATTTAAGGCATAGTAAACGATTCATTATTTTATGGAAGGTATTGATAGGGGTTGCAGCAGTAAATGTGAAATGACATGGGGCAGGTAGATGTAGTACAGCATTCTGATTGCCCTAAATGAAGAAATAGTCCAGGATAGTTATATTTCTCGACAACAACGTCATCCAAGTCTATGATGTCAGCCACAGAGCTTAAAGCTTAATGTATTTATTTATTAAAGCTGGAGTTCTACTTTACAGTACATGATAGTGCAAGTCAAACTTGCAGTTCTGTACACGGTGCTGTAAAGACTTTCCCCACACTGGTCGCACTTTCGCTGACACAAGTGACCATGCCGCTCAGTGTCCTGTATTCCAGATAATGTGGTTGCACCTCGGGCTCCTCCTCCTGGCTCCTCATTGGTCACAGTGTCCTCTCTTCTGCCAGTATGGTCGTGGCTCTACCTTCTGGCATCCTGTTGCCAGGCAACATTCTTTGCCTTTTCATCCCTTATTGGTCCTTTCATTCTCTGTGCCTGTTTTAATCCTTACTGTCCTGTACCCAATGCTTGTTATAGGTTTATACACCTCTCTGACTAGGTACCATTTCCTGAATCTGACAACCTCTGCACTGACCCTTTGCCTGCTTACTGACCACATTTCTGCCTGATGCCTGTTCTAGCATCTCTGCTCATTTGTCTAGTTACACTCCTTTTCAAGGTACTGTCCATGCTATCCTGTGTGTACATCTTTGACCCCTGTGCCTCAGAGACTCCTTGTCATACCTTTGCTCTGGCATCTTTGCTACCTGGCCAGGGAACATAGCGTTCTGTATAAGTCACGGGGGCTGCTATAGGTAAAACTGCAGTAAGCCAGCTATATTCCTTGGCTACTCATACAGGATGTATGCTACAAAGGATGATCCTTCTATCTGCATGTCTCAGCAGAAATTGAGATTTGTCAGATGGGAAATATCTTTCCAGCCTTCACTTGTCCAGTTTTTGGGACCCAGTACCCACTGTAGAGTCATTTTTCTGTTCTTTGCTGACAGAAGTGGAACCCTGACATGTCTTCTGCCACTGAAGCCAGTCCTCTTCAAGGTTAGGCGTATTAGGCTTTGTTGTTCTTCCACACACCACTGTGTGTAGAAGCTGTGGAATTTTTTCAACACTTCTAGCCGACAGAACTGCTCTTCACATGATGTTTTTTGCCCACCATTCTCTGAGATCATCAGTTTCACAAACGCTGCAACCACCATGGTTTCATGGCGTTAGTGTGGGTGAGTCCTGAGCTGCGATGTGAGCGGAAGTGATATGTGTCATGTCCCGACTTCCGATTCTTGCAGTGGATTTGGTCTAACTTTCCAGTATTGGGTCTGATGTTGCTCCAGGCTCCTGGTGGCAGATTTGAGACTTCTTTTTCCCTCCTGGTAGCACATAACGTAGACACAGTTGCAACTTCATCTGTGAGCACTACTTCCCCCATGAAGAAGATAGATCGGACTCAATGACGTTGGACTTCTATAACGCCACACTTACAATAACACATTTACAGATCGTCGGGGCAGTTCTAACTGTACTAGATGTGGCCAGGCCCTGATAGATTTTAGTTGGAGATAACCTAAGTTGGCACGATATTGGAGAGACATTTTCAATATATTAACAATATTATTTAAATAAGCATTGTAGTCCACCTATATACAGTACATGCATCTAGGGGCATCTAGATATTCCAGAAAGTCCAGCTAACCTGAGATTACGGCTTTGTGGGACATTGTTTCTTGCTAAGAAATGAATTGCACAAAAGTGGATTTTGCCCCTTCCACAGTGAGTGAATAGATATCAACAGTCTGTCTGAATTTGAAATGAGAATAGTTGACCTTTCAGCATAGGGGAGCTGTATATAAATTTCAAAGGATTTGGCTAGAGTAGCTTCAGATGACAAATATTCTATTAGCTTAATAATGTTTTTTTCGAAACATGTGGAAGTAAGAGGGAGAATAGGTTGATTTATATTATTGTAAGTTGTATGTATTATTGATTAGTGTGGATGATATATGCTACAAGCTTGGGAATGCTGGAGTAATCATTTGCATTATGTTTTTTTGGAGCAGAGGGATATTTTTTTGGTGTTGGAATATTTTTGTTTTCTTTTTCTTGACTTTTTTTTTTATTGTGTATGTAGTTTTGTAGTTTGTTTTGTATTAAGATGTTTTATTTTATGCTTCTTTTTTTGCCTATGTTATGTGTGTTTGTTGGAAAAACTTACTGTACATAAAACATGAAATAAATTAAATAATTCCACAGTGGAAATCTCATAAGATAATGCATTTCCTAATTTATATGCTTGGTTGAACAATTATACTTCTTATACCATGTTTGCATACTTTACATAGTGTGTGGCTACTCGACTGGCTGATAGGCTGTTTGTTTTACAAGGAAGTATACACTGAGTGGACAGTTTATTATGATCACCTGACGTTTGTAGGCAAATTAGCTATAATTAGCTATCATTTTGCGCTGAAGTTGCTAGAGGGCCAGACCATTATAAATAGGGAAGCAGGTTTTTTACCACGACAGTAGAATTGATTTTTTTCTGAAGATACGGGTAAACAACGCGATTTAACAGCCTTTCAACGTGGGATGATTGTTGGCGCTCGGAGCCTTGGAGCGTGTATCAGCAAAACAGCAGAATTTGTTAAAAGTTCAAGAGGGGCTCATTGTTAAAGTGCTTAAAGACTGGACTGTCAGCTGAAAATCTGGGTCTGAACGTACGAATTGTGGCCGTCAGCGACTAGTCAATGTTAGGGCAGAACAGAGAGTGGCAAGACTGGTACAAGACAACAGAAGGGCAACAGTGCAGTGTCAGATTCCTCGCATCACCTTTCAACATCTCGTGGAGTCACGAGGCGGCCCAACAAAGTCATCTTGTGGCCCAACAAAGTATTGATGGGGTGGTCATAATAATCTGGCCACTCAGTGTATATAATAAAGTGGCCTCTCCTTGTATAAGCACCATAAAACGTCTAAGTACAAATAGAAATTTGTGTAGAAGAAAAGGTTATATTTATTGCAGATGTCTGAGACCTACCACAATTTATCTGGAGTGGGACTTGAGTGTTACTTGTGCCTTACTGCATGACGTGCTGGGACCACTTGCTGTGAGAGTGTAGCTGTGTGGTCTTTTATCTCTCAGAATACATTACTTTTGGTGATCACCACAGGAAAGACATTGTTTCATTTGTCAACAGTTTACCTGGCCTGAGTTTCTCACCACCAATGAGGTTAGCATGGAGGATTTCTGGTCCACCCTGGAAACAGAAGTGTTGGAGCAGGCTGCCTTCCCTTCCAGCATCCCCATCACCAAGTTTGATGCCTCCATCATCTCTCCATTTTTCCCACCTCTCATGCGTGGCCCTCTAGTAGTGAACAGTGAGAGCTACAAGAACCTGGAAATAGAAAAGGTTGCAGGTGAGCAAATGCAAAACAAATTGTATATATGTATATCAGAGGAGTGGAATTGTTTTTTTGCAATATTATGGGTGATTAGAACTATTGTTTCCATCAATGACGGCTTTATTTTCAAGTGGTCAAGATAAGTCACAGAGCTAACTGAGTGATTACCCAAGGCACCAAGCATCTAAAACCTGGAGGGCCAATATTTGTAAAGAGTGGGGTTGGGGGAGGTGACTTTACTCCCTATATTGTCACATCTGTAAAATTGCGGCAATGCCTTATACTATTTTCTTGTCTGTATGACATCCTTTTCTTGTATCTTAAATAGGGATGCACAGATACCAGGTACTGTACTTAGTACAGGTACTGATAATTTTCCAGCTCCAAGACTAGACTAGAGAAAAACTCAAAAGTTAGGAGGCAGCCTTAATGTGCATCCCTGTTTTAATGTATGATTTGTTTTATATAAATATATTAGGGATGCACTGATACCATTTTTTTAGACCAAGTACAAGTACTGATACTTTTCCAAGTACTCACAGATACCAATTACTGCTACCTTTTTCTTTAGTGTCATGTGATAGTTTTTCTAAAACAATACAGACTAATGATTTTAGGACAGTAGTGGAGCACCAGGGCACAGCCACAGCTGCATCCGATGTGATGAGCAGCAATACAGATACTGGTATCTGAACATCTCTATTTGTAAAGCATGCCGGGGCCTTTTTTACCAGCAGGGATCTCTCTACCTACCTTCCCTTACCCATTTGTTTTATTTGTGGCCAGTATCTTCCAATTCAGAAATGTATGGCTTACTATATCGATTGCAGTTGTTGGTGATGTTTGGCACATCCTGTAGCCCACTTATGCCTCTCAGGGCCCCAGAGAGATTGAAAAAGTCCAAGTAGGAAGACTAGAGGTCCTACTTGAAGAGAATATCTTTAGTAGTGCTGGTGCTTAGTACCTAGCTTGCTTTAATGGATATTATAATATAAAGATACATTTGTAGGAGATCTTGTATGCTGCCATTCTGGTGTGAACTAATGAGTATTCTTGGAATGTGGATTGTGGCTTTGCAAGAGTTCACAAAGATGTATCCCAGGACTGGTGTCTAGCCCAGTGGAGATGAAGGCTAAATGTTTCGTAAAGCTTACAGAGAATTTGAAGGTTCTGTGCAGTACAAGAACCATATTATATAGTGTGGTAAGGCAGTGCCTCCACTTTACATTACAGAAACAATACACATAATGTAAAGGGGCATTTTACACATTGGGGCTCCTTAGATACTAGCTTCCCCTGTTACTAGGGGCCCTAGGAGCTTAATGTGAGGTAAGGCTGTGGCCCTTGCACAGTTGCCATTACTTCCTGTGTTCTACAGTAGGGCATGTGCACCACTCTCTTAAACAGAGGAGCCGCTAGGTTTCAGCCCTCGGGGGTATGTCCCCTAATCTTTTTTTCTATCGCTGCTTGATCACTTTTGGAAAAGGCTCCTTTCTGCTTTTCTAAACATACACCTCATTGAAATTTGCAGTTACAACCAGCTAGTGGTATTTTCCAGAGTGATAACACATGTGATCATATTAAATACTGCAAAAAGCATCAGCATAACGTGTGCAGGAAATGCAGCTGATCCAGCAATTCATCACAATAATAAAAATAATGTATGCATTATGCTTTTGTAACATAAACCTCAAGTCTTTAAGCTCCACCAATAAAATCAATCTTTTTAGAAAGACTGTTAAACTCTGACCACCTGAACCATTCCAATTTCTCCCATCCCCATACTGTGGTCTTCAATGTGACCATTGCTGATGGCATGTACCATTTTTTTTCCCTTTAATAATGGTCATTGTTCTCATTCCCGTCATTTTATGTGTATATGTAGATTGCACTGTTCTGTATGTTTTACTTTGTGCAGTGCTACAGCAAAGTTATAATAATAGCAATAAAGCAGAGTTATTGGATTCAGAATTACAAAATGTGATTTGTCTATGCAGAGTGTTTGGTTTGGTATAAGCCATAATTGTATTTGTGTGGTATTGCAGGTAACGGGAGTGCTTTGGCCAAACTCCTCCATGATGGCACCCTGAAGCTTGATGACCTAAACATGCTGAGCACTGAACAGCTGCGGAGGATGCTGACACTTTGTGGCATTTCTTGGAATGTTACAGACGCAAAGGTACATCTTTCTTACCATAAGAAGACTATGTCCCTACATCTTGCCTTCCATCTGTTCACACAGACATATGAGTGAAATATCTTACAGCACTTCATTCATGTAACGGCTATTGCATTGGCTGCCATTGTGGACAAATCAGATGTGCCAGAGTTTGTTGTTGAGTCCTGCCTGTTTTCCATTAAGCCTCACTCCCTTGCCATATCTGCATTGTTTCCTTCAACTCCCACAGTTACACAATTAGATGCTTTTAAAAGTCCAGCAACTGTGTGATGTATACTATTGTCCAGTTTGGTCCTAAACTATTTCTTTCTCTGTATAGGACAGCATGTGTTATTCCATCCTGGCCCTTTCAGAATTTGTACAGAATGGGACACAGGTCAAGCAGCCTCCGTCTAATTTAACTGGAGGGAAGGTGTACAAAATCTGCCCCCATCAGGTATGTGAATGGAAAATCTTAGGCTTCTGCTATGCACTTGTGATTTGTATTATCTACTCTGAAAAGCAATGTAAAGCTTCTGTGTCCAGCTTTCTGACCTCAAACTGTCATGTGTAGGTGGTTTGCGGCTCAAAGTACATTGTGCGTGGGGAGAGTCCTCGGGATCATGTTGACCTTTTGGCCTCTTCACGGCATTGGCCCCCTGTGTACGTAGTGGACATGGCCACACAGGTGGCTCTGTGTGCCGATCTATTATACCCAAACCTGGCGCAGCAGATGTGGGGAAAAAATCAAGGATGCTTCTCTGATCCGTCAGAGTCTCCAAAGGTAAGTGTCATTATATCTGCAAAAGAAGACTTTTATACTTGCCTGTCCTTCCATACATACCCCGAATCTTCATTCATAAACAGAGCAAAGCTGCCACCAGAATATTCAGCATTCATCACACTTCTGAGTTTCATTTGCTTGGAACCATGTTGCAGCACTGTGGTTCCACCTGCTGGACACTATTTCTCCAGTGTGTCCCAGGGACACAAGTCATTTTTTTAAACTGCTAGATTAGTAGATTTCTCACATATGTGTCTAGCTATGAAAATTAGGCTGGAGTGTTTGCAATATTAAAAACAAATAACAAGTGAAGTATGGGTATATATATATATATATTGACTAAAGAGATGGGATAAGCATGGCCAAGTGACAAAATCCTAGACAAAATGTTTATTTACAGAGCCTGCCCTGGGTTTTGGGGCTCCTTGGGTAATCGACAATAAATAGGAACAGGCACTGTGCCTGCTCCAGCATGTAAGGGGCAGTTTCATGGTTTATTGGTGCAAAGAACTACAGTGGGAAGATCTTACCTCTGATACTCCCAAGACCTGTAAGAAGCCAGTGGAACATATAGCCAAGCAACAGCCACTATTAACTGAAATATCAGTTTTAAATGGAATAGATGAGCTCTTTAATTTATTCTTACATATTCGGTGCACTTTTTATCTGCAGCAGCCAGGAAGGCCCTTTTATTCAGTTGCAGCTTGAGGCTCCTAGTCCATCCTTTCATTTGGAATTGGCTGTCCATCACTGCTGTTATGCATCAAGATAATCAACTTCAGATTAACCCTGTAATCCTGTTTCCATTCTGGGAAAGCTGCCAATCCCATCACACTCTCTGATGTTCGCAGACACATGTGGCATAAAGTGTAGCTCTGCGGAAGAACAGCGATGAGTAAATATTTATTTTTTCAGGTAGAATGTGTTCTGATGTGAAGGTTTTTTTTATTAAATAATTTTAAAGAGGTTATATGAAATATAGGAGCATTCTATTTCTACCCATGGCTTCCATATACTTTGAGTTTATAAAGGTATTATGCTTATATAAAAAAAATCACAGCCTTTTCGGTTATGTGTACCTGTAACGGCATCCAGAATACTAAAGTACCAACTGGATGTTCTAGCACTAACTTCTACACAGGAAGTAAGTGTATTGATCTGACTCCCTCTATTGGCCAGTGACCGTGATAGGTGCTTCACTGGGTTGTAGCAAGGTGTTGGTGGAAATGAAATGTCAAAATGTTCTTTAACCCCTTCATGACTGAGGCCCTTTTTTCAATTTTTGCACCCATGTTATATTCCACATTTTAGGCCTGAAAATGACGTAAAACCCCCCAATATTTCTATAGAAGCTCTTTATACCCATTGGGGGGTAGTAATAACTGCATGTAGGCTCTTAGAGGTGAATTGTACTGTAACATTCAGCAGGCAATTCAGTATATGGAATTTCACTACAGGTTCGCTTTAGAAGACATAGGGTTAGATTTCTCAGAGAAACCCACGTCCTTCAGAGAGCCTTCAGAGAAGAGGCGTTACTGGCGTGACTGCCTTCTCTCTGAAGAAAAGATTTATCTTTAATACCCCCGATAATGTCTGACATTAATTGTGCACTGCACGTCATTAACAAACAACATTATTGTTTTGAGTAATAAAGTTCCCGATTCCTCTCTACAAATGAAATGTCCTAGCTCTCAGTCTCCAAAGTCATTGTTTTCACATATAATATTACTTTAATTGAAACTGTAGTTTCTTCTTTTGAAACCCAAGCCCATTCATAACCATCTTTGAGATTTCCATCAAGGAAATGTTCCACTACGTTCTGTTTCGGTAGAGAAAGTGAAGGATCTCCTCAACTTGGGTTGGGCTTGAAAGAGGAACTACACACAGTGCTGACTGCAGGTGGGATTCATACAAACTGAAAGCAAAGTTCGCAGATGTGCGTAGTAGAACAAACATTGACATTGAGAAGGAATGAAAACTGTTGGCCATAGCAAGCACTGAACTTGTCTTTGTATGATTGGATGATATGTCACACCTTAACCTCTTGGTTGCTTTTTTGGTTTATAAAAATCAGTTCTATATTTTTTGAATTAAGAAGGCATTTGTTGTTTTTGTGTCTTAGTATGTTTCTTGTCCAGAGCTCCTCGACATACATTTTAACATGGACATGATGGGCAATGAGCCCTCTATTCAGCATCCCATGACCAAGTCGTCCTCCCGGAGAATTGTCCATGGCATGGCAGAACAGAACAGATCCTGTGACCCAACGTCTCGCCACCATTCTCTGTCTCTTTGTCGTGAGCTGGAGCCATACAGCGCCATCATCACAGCCATTGGTGACAGCAAGACAAGCAACATCCGCCACCACTCCATAAACTTTGAGAACGCCACACACTATTACCTTTACAACAGGTTAATTGATTTTCTCACCAGCCGTGAAATTGTGAACAGGCAGATTCATGACATTGTGCAGACTTGTCAGCCTGGGGAGGTGGTGATCAGAGACACTCTGTACCGGCTTGGTGTGGCACAGATCAAGACAGAACTTGGGGACAGCGAGTTGGAGGAGGACATTACAGTAGAGCAGACAAGCTCTACATAATCCTACCTGTCAATAGTATTTTGCACTACAGGGTTTCCAAACATTTCCTGATGGACAGATGGAGACAATCAGCTCTCCTAATGAGCATGCCTCTGTTTCACTGCACGTACATTATGGAACATGTGAACCGATGTCTTAACGAGTTGGTTGCCAAAGTTATGATGTGAAACTGCCTTTATGGTGAGAATTGAAGGCGAAATGCACTTTTTTTTGTGCTCTGTATTAGACAGCATTTCAGATTTCTTTGTGTTAATTGTGGTCTGCGGATTCTAGAATGTTTCTGTCTAGGATGGCTCAGGACATATGGCGCCTTCTATATCAGCAGTGGGACTATACCGAGATGCAGAACAGGGTGGGATGCATTTACTTCAGCTCACTACGACTTTCGTGATTTTACCTTTAGTGGTCAGAAGTGGTGCTTCATCTGCTTAGAATCTACCTCTGGCCATTTTCTGTACACAAAGACTTCCAATAACTTATGTAGCAGGCAGGCCACTGCCACCCTTTGTGCACATCCAGTGAAATTGTACATCAGACAAGTGACATGTGCCGCTTTGGGCTCTTCATGCTTCAAGTGCCACTAAACTCAGGAGTTAAATCTTAAAAATACTTTCAAGTAACTCAACTATTGACAAAAATGTATCTTATTTGTGTATCACTCAGCTGTAGATCCTCCAATCATCTCTGAATTGATGCTGACACTGTCCTTCTTTCAGTGTCAGCACGTTTGTTCCCTATGGTCCCTATGTGTGTTGTAAAGTAGACACCGCTCCAAGCTCACTCCTGTGATGGACTACAATCTCACGCTTAGTTTACTAATTTATATTGTAGTCCATCACTGGAATGAGCTTGGAACGGTGTCTACTTTACAACACACACAGGGACCATGGGGAACAAACGTAGCCACCCTCCAGAAGGAAGTACAATGTCAGCACCAATTCAGAGATGATTTGAGGATCTACCGCCGAGTAATACGCAAATATACTTTATTTTTGTTAATAATAATAATAAGGTACTTGAATGCTTTTTCAAGATTTAACTCCTGAGTTTAGTGTCATTTTAATTAGCACAGAACAATAGTAATTAAGTTAATGCCCTTATAGTCATCTGCTGCAGGAGCTTTGTGTCCATGGTGAGATTGTTGCATGATTGTATCTGAATCATATAGATTGTACAGCAGTTGGTGCCTTTTGTATGTTAATTTGTGTTTCTGGAGTGAAAATGATTGCAAAGTCAATTATGACTATATAACCAGTGTTGCAAATGATATTACAGGGATGACGACATGAGGATCTCAGAATCAAAGAATTGCACTGCTAGGTACCAGATTTGCTGTTTACTTGTCTCTTGCAATGTTTTTTTCTAACTACCTTCTTAACGCATTTGGCATTTGTATGATAAGCAATTGCCCATTAAGCCCATTGTAAAACATGGCTTTTCCTACTATGGTTGGATCAACTAAAATTGTGCCCGATCCTTACACCTTTCTAGGAGCCAGGTAGCCTGAAGAAATCAAATCTGACACCATATTGATTAAGCCTTTGTTATGTATGCTGTCTTCTACCTTTCTGGTTCTAGATTAGACTGATTTAGCCCTCGATTTGAATTTTGGCTTCAGCATATGCAAAATCTGCCATTTGTAGTGGAGTTGCATCTCAGCCTACACTGTATATATGGGTATAAATACACGTGTGTGTTTGTACACTTAACATACAAACATATACTGAGGGTTTCAGATGGTTTGCTGAACTACAGTCCATTGTTTAGGCTGCCTGTGGGGTAAAGCTCTTTCATTATAATATGGTAGCCACTGCTTTTTATGGTTAGCACTGAGCAGTTGGATTACATACTTTGCAAGTATTTACTTGAGAAATGTATAAATACTCTAATTTTTTGTTTGGTTCCTGCTCATTACAAGTATTGCACACCTTAACAGCTTGAAGAGGTTGACAAGGCAAACTTTTAAAACACTGTCAATTGATCACTAACGTATGAATAATTTTTTTTACTTATGTAGCACTTTTTTCACCGGTTACATTGCTTTTCCATACATATCACTCACAGGGCTCGGGCTCACATACTGCATATATGCACCTCTGGTAAAAACTTTTCTTCTTTTAAGTTTTAGACAAAGTGTAGAAAGTTTGGAAACTATCAGATTTCTATTGCTGTCTATATCCCCACTGGGCAGATTTTTTTTCTCATCTTTTGGGGGACACAAGAATTCAGATATTTTCAGGTTATACTGCCGCCTACAGAAGGATTAGACACTGGCAAAAAAAAATGTGCAGTCCAACCCAGGATAACCCCTCCTCTACCCAGCATACCTCCGCTTTTTGCTACTGTCCTCGGATGATTTTTGCTAGCCTTTTTTCTTCAAATTTATTTTCACATTTCTTCTTCCATTGAACTTAGTCAAGATTTCTTTTTACATCACTGCTTATGCTGGTCTCTTACTCACCAGCTATCTGGCCTTTCCTTCCACATTGGAGTGCTGTACCCTGACCCTAGCGCTTCAGAATGGATCTCTCCGCCACTATGGTAGGCCCCTTAATATAGCATATGGAACAGATGTCTGGGTCCTTATGCTTCAGTTGTAGTGGCTTGTTAGAAGTATCTAAACCTGTGTCATGCAAGGGTCTGGTGTTCATGCAGATATACAGAGCACTCTGGATAAGGTTCCGGAATGGTGGTGCCATATCCAAAGAACATCTGACTCACTTTGAGGGATATAGTCTCTTTTGGCTCTACACTTCATACCATCATCAAGAACTCCATGGGAAGACAGAGCATACACATATGCCTCAAAGTAAAAGGTCCAAAGAAAGTATTTTGCGTTCGGTACTCGCCCAGTACCGATACTGGTGATTCCACTGGCATGGAGCCGGCTTCCCGGGAAATCAGGATAATAGGCGGCAGGTATTGACGTGCTGCCCAGCTTCCTGATTGCCTGGAAAGCCGGCTCCATGTTGTTTGGCCGGCTCGCTTGTGATTGGCCAGGAAACCAGCTTTCCGGCCAATCGGCATCGAGCCGGCTTCCTGGCCAATCGGGAAGCTGGGTGGCGAGTAATTACCCGCCTACCGGCTTCCTAATTGGCTGGGAATCTGGCTTTCCATCCAATATGCATGAAGTCTGCTGTTCGGCCGATTCGATGCTGATTGGCTGGGAAGCCGGCTTCCCGGCCAATCAGCATGGGGCCGGCTTCCTGGCCAATCAGGAAGCTGAGAGGCGGGTCATTACATGTTCCCCTATGGCACTGCGCAAGCGGCGTCTTTTATTGGAACAATACAGCACTACAGGTTGCACATACTTGCATCAAAATTTTTTATTTGGCAATACACTGGGTCCCTCCATATGTATCCAGTCCATCAAAAGGGTGGTACTCCAGTACTATGAGTTGTACATATGAACTGATTATATACCTATAATAGCCTTTCGATTTGTGTCAAACACAATCGGGGGGATTTATCAAAACTGGAGCAGCCAGAAACTGGAGGAGTTGCCCATGGCAACCAATCAGCTTCTCTCTTCAGTTTGCTCAGTTGAGATTTAGAAATGAGAGATAGAAGCTGATTGGTTGCAGTGCAAATCTGCTCCAGATTTTGTCTGCTCCAGTCTTGATAAATTCCCCCCATATGTCCTCTTCTTTAATTGTGACCCTCCACAAGCAGAATCTCATGGCAGCCCTGGCATCATTGCTGCACACGATTGCATCAAGGGGATTATATAATGCAAGGATCCCTCAGTATACATGCCATCCATCCAAGAATGGTTCTCCAGTGCTAGGAGGTGTACATAAAATTATTTGTATTTAAATGTCAGGAAGAAAGACAGTCTAGAGTGGATGTTATAACTAAATATGACACCCACTGGGAAAAACACTGTGATCCTTCCTCACTAACCAACTTGTCTATTTTAATGTCCGATAGTAATCTGAAATAGTTCATAATAAGTTTGTTCTTATAGAAAGCTGAAACTTTTTTTCTATTACTGACGGGAACTGCTGTGTTTTTAAATTTTGTAGAACTACTAATAAAGTTATGCTCAGCTGATCCTCAGAGCCGGCTGGCTCTTAGACCCGGTCCCTGGAGCCTCTCTCCCCCTCCGCTCTAGCCGTCTATGGTCCCTAAATCATCACATTCTGTACATTGTGTATAGGATATGAGGACATCAAGGGGAAAATATTATCTCTGCAGTGGAGTCGCCTCTGTTCATTCCCATCTCAGCAGTCAGTTTGATCAAGCCTGATCTGAAGATTCAGCTGATGTGCAGAGGGTAATGAAGAGTTAATACAAAGTCGAATTACAGGTAAAAACATGTAGCACAATTATTATAAAAAATTAACCTAAACATTGTTTAAACCGTATATGATTAATGTTAGCAATGTTTAAAATATGGTATACGTTTGTTATATTAATGCAGAACTGTCTAACCTCTCTTATTCTTACACATAGTGTTTACCAGGTTTTAGACTCACAAGTCAGCTCACTAACTGTATCTCTTGTTTTTCTAGTGTAGCTGTATTGAAAGAAAACCTATACTGCATATACCATAGCAATGCAATAAGGTGGGGGTCGGTATAGATATGCAGTTTCAGAGTGCCAAAGGACCATTTGCACAGCCCTTCGGCGCAATCTGAAAGTTAGCCCTTCTAACAACCACTTTTACATGTTAACTGTAGCTCTTGTAATATATCCAAGGTTGCCAAGCAACTTGGCAAATGTAACATCACTGGACTGAGGAAGGAAGTATTGCATATGTGTTTGAGTCTATGTCATCAATACCGAGAGCCATCAATCATGATCTATAGCTGCGCTTATGAAATCATTGGAGATCACAAAGTGCTAGAGATTAGCTACAGTGTATGAACCTGTATCCAGACCTGTTCCAGATCCCTCTGCTTTCTACAATTATCTGTCCTGGTATGGGAAGAAATTCACTGGATATAGTTTCTGAGCTAATGTGTTTCAAAAGTACAGTTATGCTTTCAAGTGTCCCTCTTAGTAAAATCAGTTCTAGGCTAAGAATATCCAGCAAAAAGAGAGGCGATATGGTCCTTTCCTGCTGCTTGCACCACCGAATGCTGCTCTGTTGAAGAGGAAACCTCTGCTAAGACTGTTTTGTTCTCCCATGCCCCTCACAGCGCTCAGTGTTTTCTCTCGCCGACACAGTAGTGACATTAAGGTCGGTGAGAGCAACCACTAAGGACTGCGGGGGAA